AAAGAATAATGTAGAGTCTGCAAAACACCGCATAATATGGATGAACTTGGAGGACATTATGCTGAGTGAAATAAGTCAATCACAGCAGGACAAATATAGTATTAGTTCACTGTTGTGGAGGATCAAGGAAAGGTTTATATATGGAGGGAAACTTTTCTTTGTTGGTTGCCAGGGGTGGGAGAGAAGGGGAGAGAACACTGGGAAAAAAAAAAAAAAAAGCATTAACCCATGTCACTTTAATTTTGTGTATTTCACTGTACATAAATTATATTTCAATAAAATGCATTAAAAAAATAAAACAAAATAAATAAATAAAAGAATATCCATATAACTAGAACTAATAGGAGACAAAGTTATGATAATTACTTGGGCACAGTCAACCACCTTGATGGGGCGAGTTGTTGGACATGTGGTCTCAGGACATGGTCACAGGGGACATCAAGCTCAACTGGCATAACATACTACACAAAAACAATGGTGCAGAGCTATTTGTACAAAGATTGTTAAATGGGAACCTAATTTATTGTGTAAACTTTCACCTAAAACACAATAAAATATTATGTTTTTAAAATAATAGTTAACCAATTATAATGGGTTGAATTATGTTCCCAAAATAATGTGTTATAAATCCTAACCTCTATGCCTGTGGTTATAATCCCATTTGGGAATGAGTTGTCTTTGTTGTGTTATTGAGATGGGATTAATCTAAAGTGTGTTTTAAATCAATCTCTTTTGAGATATAACAGATTAAACAAGCAGACAAGCAAAGTACAGATAGAGAGAGATGTCAAGCCACATGAAGATAACCCATAAGCAGAAGCTCAGAAGAGACAAGGACCCAAAAGACAGATAAATTATTCCCCTAGATAAATGCCCTGAATTTGGACTTCTAGCCTCCTAAACTGTAAGAAAATAAATTTCTGTTTGATAAAGCCTTCCATTTGGGCTATTTCTATTACAACAGTACTAAATAGCCAAGGCACCAATGAAGTAAGATTATTCAAAAGTAGACTATTTAGAAAGATTTTAACAATATTGTTACGTTAAAAAAAAAGAACGGTACCGAGTAGTACAAAACATGCTGACTTCTATATAAAAAGGGGGAGAAAACAAGACTTCGCATTCGCATGCTATTGGGAGGGACCAGTCGCTGGAGAAGAACATCATGTTTGATGAAGTAGAGTGTCAGTGAAAAAGAGGAAGACCCTCTATAGCAGCTGCAACAATGGACTTAAACATAACAATGATTGTGAATATGGTGTAGGACTGGCCAGTGTTTCATTCTGTTGTACATAGGGTCATTATGAATCATAATTGACTTGATGGCACCTAACCACAACAACATTCATGTTTACTGTACATGCAATGTGCTTAAAGAAACTCTGAAAGTATATGTATAAAACCACTGAGCCAGGTTATCCGTGTTGGAGGATTGGGGTTAGGGTAGTTGGAAATTAGGCAGATAGGGGATAAGAGAAGGAAGATGTTACTCTGTGTACTGTTTACACTCTGATTTTTAATCACATGGATTAGCTCTTCAAACAATTAAATAAATTAATCTTAAAAAACAATTGTAGTACAATATATTTGTTGTTGTTGTTGTTATGTGCTGTCAATTCGGACCCGACTTATAGTGACCCCTCCTTGGGTTTCCGAGGCAGTAACACTAGGGAAGCAGATTGCCCCATCTTCCTTCCGAGGAGTGGCCGGTGGGTTTGAACCGCCAGCCTTCTTTTTAGCAGTCAAGTGCCTTAGGTACTACGCTACCAGAGCTCTGACTCATAGAGAACCTATTATGTACAACAGAGCAAAAACTCCCTGGTCCAAAAACTGTCTGGTCCACCACTTGTCTGTCAGTTTGTCGTATTGTGGTGGCTTGTGAGTTGCTGTGAAGCTGGAGGCTATGCCACTGGTATTTTGAATACCACTAGGGTCACCCATGTTGAACACGTTTCAGCAGAGCTTCCAGACAAGACAGAGTAGAAAGAAGGACAGGGCAAGGTCATCCACTTCTGAAAAAACTATTCACATTATGAATAGCAGTGAAGCATTGTCTTTTAAAACCAAACAATAGTTAACTGGTAAAGACTATCTGCCTTGAGCATTATTCTCTTCCATCTATCTATATGGAATCAAACTGACAATAATAACTCAAAAGATTAGATAAGAACCTTAGGGGGCAGTGAGTTTATGTTAAGGAGGGAGAAAAAAAAGAAAAAGAGGATGAGAATGGTTGCAGAACTCAAAGAATGTAATCAATCATTAAATTGTACATGTAGAAACTTGAATTTGTGTATTGTTTTTGCTGTATATATTCTCAACAACAAAAATAAAATGAATTACATTTTTTAAAATAGAAAAAATTTAAGAAAAATTATTGGGTTTGGAATACATGATCTTTAACATCATAAACTCTGAAATTTTATGCTTCTGCGAATAATTACAACATGAAGGAAAAAAGGAAAGACATTGAAAGAAACCAATATACCTGCATAGAAATATTTGGTAAGTTTCAATGAAAAATAATTAACATAATATTTAGAAAATGAGATCCATAAGTAAGGGTAAATGTAAAACATTAATCTGAACAACACAAAAAATTTAATATCCCTTCAAACATACTCAAATAAGTGTCATCTTAACAACTTAATAACATAATTATAAAATGTTGCTTAAGCTGCTGGAAGTTTTAACAATTTTGGTTAGAACAAAGAATTATTATCCGAAAACATCACATTTTCAGTATATTTAAATTTCATAGTGTTCTCATAAGAAATTACGTTATCTTCCAAGAGTAATATGAACTGAATGCTCACCTCCCTTTAGAGCTCTGCAAAAAGAATAATCATCATCAGATCCTCGACAAACAACTTCTTTGCGCTTTGGAAAATCCAGGGACTTGGTAGATACATAGAGATTGAAATACAATTTTTTTATGTCTCTCCCTTAAAAAGAAAAATAACAGATCCCATCAGTCCCTCAAAAAAGACATTCTTTTATAAATAATACTGGTATGTGTTATACACTTAAAATGTCCTATGTATAAAGCTAAATATAAATTGAAAATTTAAAAAAAAATTAATTCCCCCAGATGCAGAAAAGGTGAGACTTTCTGCTTCCCTTTTCCTTAGAGCATTTACTTTAGAAATCTAGAAATAGTAAATTTTTTACTTGCCTTTTTTGAAGAATCCTCTCAAAAGATTAAATAAGCTTCTTGCCACTTTACCAACCCAGGAATATTTCCTGAAGACCTGAGAGCCATCTCTTCAAAATGTAATCAGTAAGGACAACAGCTATCATATCTCTCAGTATCAGTGGGAGGATTAGAACCTAACTTTGTTGGGCTCCAAGTGATAAAACTACCTCATGTCATAAAAATATTAAGAGTTTATTTTTCTCATGGGGAAAGGTTATCCAACAGAATGTGGAAGTTTTCAAAGAGTATCATTAATATCTCACCCAAGTAAAGTCTTACTGAAGATCATTCAAAAATGGTTGCAGCAGTATGTTGACAGAAAACTTCCAGAAATGCAGGCTGGATTCAGGAGAGGATGTGAAATGAGGGATATCATTGTTGATGTCAGATGGATCTTGGCTCAAAACAAAGAATACCAGAAAGATGCCTACTTGTGTTTTATTGACTATGCGAAAGCATTCGATTGTGTGGATCATAACAAATTATATATAACATTGAGAAGAAGAATGGGAATTCCAGAACACTAAATTGTGCTCCTGAGGAACCTATACATAGACTGTTATTCTAACAGAACAAGAAGGTTGTTGTTCTAACAGAACAAGGGGATACTGCATGATTTAAAATCAAAAAGGGAGGGTCAAGGTTGTATCCTGCACCATACTTATCCAATCTGTATGCTGAGCAAATAATCCAAGAAAATGGGTTATATGAAGAACATGGTATCAGGATACAGGTGACACAAGTTTTCTTGCTGAAAGTGAGGATGACTTGAACCACTTACTGATGAAGATTAAAGACTACAGTGTGCAGTATGGATTACACCTCAACATAAAGAAAACAAAAATCCTAACAACTGGACCAATAAGGGGAGCTCTGGTGGCGTAGTGCCTAAGGCATTTGACGGCTAACCAGAAGGCAGGTGGTTCAACCCCACCAGCCACTCTTCAGAAGGAAGATTGGACAACCTGCTTCCATAGAAATGTTGTTATGTGCCGTGGAGTCGGACCCGACTCAGCGACCCCTCCTTGGGTTTCCTAGGCAGTATAACTACGGAAGTAGATTGCCCAACCTTCCTTCAGGGGAGTGGCTGGTGGGTTTGAACCATCAGCCTTCTGGTTAGCAGTCAAGTGCCTTAGGCACTGCACTACTAGTCGGATCCGACACCACTGCAGTACGTTGCGTTTGTTGTTGACGGAAGCCATGGTGTTTTCAATTGCCTCATATGCATGTGAAAGCTGAATAGTGGATAAAGAAGACAAAAGAATTGATATGTTTGAATTTTGGTATTGGCAAAGAATACTGAATATACCATAGACTGCCAGAGGAATGAACAAATCTGTCTTGGAAGAAGTGTAGCCAGAACTACCTTAGAAGCAAAGATCTCGACACTTAGACTTTGTCTTATGTAATTTGGACATGTTATCAGGAGGGACCAGCTTCTGGCAAAGAGTATCATGCTTGGTAAAGTGGAGGGTCAATGAGAAAGAGAAAGACCCTCAACAACACAGATTGATTGACACAGTGTGGCTGCAACAATGAGCTCAAACATAGCAACAATTGTGAGAATAGCATGGGACTGGGAAGTGTTTCATTCTGTTGTAGATGGAGTCCCTATGCCTTTACCCAAGTTGTTGTTGTTAGGTGTTGTCGAGTAGTCTCCAACTCACAATGACCCTATGTACAATAGAACAAAACACAACTTCAATCTTGTCTTTGTTTATCATGATATTCTTCCTTATTAGTCCAGTCCTGTGGCAGCCTCACAATCCCTGCTATACCTGGACCCATCGTTGCAGGCCCTGTGTCAATCCATCTTGTTGAAGGCCTTGCCCTCTTTCATTGACCCTCCACTTTACCAAGCATGATATCTTTCTTGGTATCCTGACTTCCATCAGGAGCACCTTAATCCTCAAAGAAATATCTTTGCTTTTTAACACTTTAAGGGGGCCTTTTCCAGCAGATTGTTGTTGTTATGTGCCATCGAGTAGGACTCAACTCCAGCAGATTAGCTCAATGTAACATATTGTTTGATTTCTTGATTGCTAATTCCACAGGCATTGATTGTGAATCTAAGTAAAATTATATCTTTGACAACTTCAATCTTGTCTTTGTTTATCATGATGTTCTTCCTTATTAGCCAGTTATGAGAATTTTTGTTTTCTTTAGTTTCAGGTGTAATCCATACTGAAGGCTATATCTTTGATCTTCATCAGTAAATGTTTCAAGTCCTCTTCATTTTCAGTAAGTAAGGTTGAGTCATCTGCATATCACAAATGATTAATGAGTCTTCCTCCAATCCTGATGCTGTGTTCTTCTTCATATAGTCCAGCTTCTTGGATTACTTGCTCAGAAAACAGATTGAATAAATATGGTGAAAGGATACAACCGTGGTGTACCTTTCCTAATTTTTAACCACACGATTCTCCCTTGTTCTGTTTGAATGACTCCCTCATTGTCTATGTACAGGTTCCTTACGAGCACGATTAAGTGTTGTAGAATTCTCATTCTTTGCAATGTTATCTATAATTTGTTATGATCCAGTCTAATGCCCTTGCATAGTCAATAAAACACAGGTAAACATCCTTCTGGTAATCTCTGCTTTCATCCAAGATCCATCTGATATCAGCAGTGATATATCCTTCATTCCACATTGTTTGCTGAATCCAGCATGAATTTCTGGTAGCTGCTGCAACTGTTTTTAAATTATCCTCAACAAATTTTACTTGCATGTGATATTAATGATATTGTTCGATAATTTCTACATTCTGTTGGATCCCTTTTCTTTGGAATGGGCAAAAATATGAATCCTTTCCAATCAGTTGACCAAGTAGCTGTCTTCCAAATTTCTTGGCACAGATTAGTGAGTGCTTCCAGCCTTCCATCCATTTTCTGAAACATCTCAGTTAGTATTCTGTCAATTCCTGCAGCCTTGTTTTTCACCAAAGCCTTCAGTGGCTGAGAGGCAGCATGAATGGCAGAGAGAATGGCCTGTTTGCCTACATGACCAAGAGGAGCTGAGAGAGCTGTCCTACACTGAAGAAGGGAAGGATGTGCTCTCCTCTTTAGGGAAGACTTCCAGACTTTGCCTACATGTTTCCTGACCCGTATCCTAGGTTATACCATGTTACTTCCTTAATAAAGCAGTGAATTATAGGTATGGTCTGTGAGTTCTGTATGGCCATTGCAATGAATTTTCAAACTTAGCAAAGAAGTAGAGAGTGTCATGCAGAGGATAGCTGGCATCAGAATTGGTAAAAAGTTTGGAGAGTGGAAGTATGTCTGACCTCCACTTCATAGGAATCAGCTTTATGCTGATGGTGACTTTCATTATCCTTTCTGAAGTTAGACAGGTTCTGATGCTACTCACACCATTTTACAACACTCTCCCTGGCTTTAATTACCACAAAAATTGTGTTATGGATTGAGTTGTGTTATCCAAAACTTTATGTTGAAGTCCCTTTGTACCTGTGATTATGACTTTGTTTGCAAATAGGGTTTTTGAAGGTATTACCAGTTAAAATGAGGTCATATTGGAATAATGTGGACCCAATCCAATATGAGTTGTAGCTTATAAAAGAGAACAGTTGCAGACAGAGAAAGACAGCCATGTGAAGATGCACCTACAAGCCAAGGAACTCCTGGAGCTACCAGAGGCTGGGAAAGACAAGAAAGGATCTTCCCTTAAAGACTTCAGAGGAAACATGGCCCTGCCTATACACTGAATTCAGACTACTGGCCTCAAGAACTGTGAGACACAAAATCACAAAAAAAGACCCGGTTTACTGGTCTGATAGAGCCTGGTGAGCCCCTAGTCACCCTTCAGGTCTGGAATTGAACTCACTCCAGTGACTTCCAGGCAAACTATAGACAGGCACATAGGGTGAACATTTACATCAGGTAAATAGACTCCTTAAAGTGATCAATCATGGGAGAACAGAAGGGTAGTGTTTACACAGGAAGAAAGCTTGGGGGGGCAGGAATGCATAGGAAAGAAAGATACAGGGAAAAGGTAACTATAGGGGGAAGTGGGAAGAAAGCTGCTACATTGTGGGGAATTATAGTCAATGTCATGAAACAAAATGTGTATGAATTGCTGTATGGAAAGTGAATTTGCTCTAAGAAGAATGAAGAAAACCAAAGATGCATGGAAACAATTAGTCCAAGGGACTGGTAGACCATGTGATCCTCAGCCTAGATGACCATGAGAGCAGAAGAACTAGATGGTGCCCAGCTGCCACTGTAAACTACTCAGAGGGGAATCAGTGCAGGAGATCCTGGATAGAGTAGGAGAACAATGTGGAACAAAACTCAAAACCATTTAAAAAAAAAAAAAAGACAAGGTTTCCTGGTCTGAGAGCCTGGTGAGACTCCTGTGACTATGGCCTCTAGCTACCCTTCAGGTCTGGAACTGAAGTCACTCCTGTGGTTTCCAGCCAAATAATAGACAGGCTTATGGGCTGAATATTTATATTTACATCAGGTAGATACACTACCTGGAGTGATCAATCATGGTAAAACAGAAGGGCAGTGTTTGCACAGGGAGATAGGCCAGAGGGCAGGAGTACATGGGAGGGAAGGACACAGGGAGGAGGTAACTTATGGGGAGGAAGTAGGAAGAGAGCTGTTACATTGTGGGGAATTGCAGTCAATGTCATGAGACAAAATATGTATGAACTGCTATATGGAAAATGAATTTTCTCTGTAAAGTTTCACCCAAATCACAATAAAAATTTAAAAAATAAAAATAAAAACAGAACTATGAGACAATAAATTTCTATTCTTATAAATCACCTAGTTTGTGGTGTTTTGATTGATATGGCAGCCCTAGGTAATTAATATATGGTGATAATTCCCAAATCATTATCTTCAATCCTGCTTTTCTCCTGAGCGTCTGTCTCATATATCCATTCGACACCTCTACTCAGTGTTGCTTAGCAACATTTCCAAAACTGATTTACTCATTACAGTGCAGTGAACTGCCTGGTATGGTGTTTCTAGTCATGGTCTTTGGGACTCTCACCATATGACTAAGTGGGACTATGCAAATGTGAGGTGCCTGTGGCCAACCAAGGGGATTGGATAGCTTACTAATAATGTAAATAAGGTGCACAGCACCCTCGTGGGGATAAGACCATGTAAATAAAATGTATGGAATCCTAAAGTGGGAATTGGTCAGTTTTGCCACCTTGCTAGGCTTAAAATGAGCCAGTCCAAGACAAAAGAGGAGGATCTTACTACCATCAGGAAAGAAGAGACAGGAATGAAGTGCATCCTTTGGACCCAAGATCCCTGTGCTGAACTTCATCAACCCAGGGGACACAGAGGGAGAGCTGTAACATGTTCCTGTGATGACTGAGAGACAGTGAAAAGAAGTGGCAAAGAAATGGCAACAGCAGAACCAGAGACCTGCCAGCCTTGGGCTATTGATGTTGATCTTGATCCTTCTCCTCCCCCTTGTGACATTAGAGGTGATGCTGCCCCCACACCCTTGTTATATTCATCTTCCTCACCAAATGTGCTGTTCCTCATTACCATGGGCCATATCAAAATACTACCAAACATCTTAAATTGTCTTCATTTTTCTAATTTCAGGGTAGGGTGTGGAGAAGAAGATCATGGGGTCTGTTTCAAACAGTGGTCCCATAGCCCACCCCACAACTTGTGCCTGAACTTCTCCAAAAGTATAGAAGTTGAAGGAACTGGTTTCACAAGGAATTCCTGGACACTCAAGGGCCCAAGATAGCCCTGTCGTGTCCACCTAATGCATGACAAGTTATTTTTTTCCCATTTTTCATGGAACTGAAAGATGAGTTAAGCGTATTTTAAACAATGTAAAATATTTCAAAAGTGGCTGGACAACTCTAAGGTGGATTCCATTGATCCCTTCCTCCTGGTATTCATGCCCTTGTATAATCCTCTCCTCTTGAGTGTACGCTAGACATCAGTAACTTGGTAATAACCAGTAAAAAATGGCAAAGATGATCGAAGCTATCTTCCATGATTAGACTACTGTGGTAGTTAAGGTTACATGTCAACATGGCTGGGCCTGGTTTTGAGTGGCTGGGCAGCTGGTTGTAGTTATTCCCCATGATGAGACTGGCAATCAATTCCGTGGTGGAATCTGCTGCAAGCAGCTGAGTAGCTGCTTGGGAATGTGGTCTGCTTCTGGTATATAAGGAGAAATTTTGGGAATGGTTTGCAGTTTTGGGCATGCTTGAATCCTAAATGTAGCCAAGTTGTGTTCAGCAGCCTGTCATGTTGTCTGCCGATCTTAGGGCTCTTAATGAACTTGAATTAGTGGCCTGTCATGTGGTTTGATAATATTGGGAGTATATCTTTCTACTTGTCAACCTTGGGTTTGTCAGCCTCAGCAGCCAGCAGTTGCCTGAGTGAAGAAAGCCTCCAGATTCAGTGGGCTGGAAGCAAGAGGCAGAGCTAAAGCCCAAGGCTGAGGGGTTTGCACCCAGCTCCTAGAGCCTGGCACTTTAAACTCAGACTTCTAGCCTCCAAAACTGTAAGAGAATAAACTCCTATTCATTACAGTCACCCAGATTATTACTTCTATCTTGCAAGCAGATGCTCTCTCTTACTGGCTTTAATGACGTAAATAGCCATGTTAGAAAGGCCCACAAGGCAAGGAACTGAGTGCTGGCCAATAGCAAGGGAAGAACTGAACTTTGTCAACAACCACATAAGGTAGAAAGCAGATCATTCCCCAATTGAGCCTCAAAAAGAGACCTCAGCCCTAGCCAACAATGTGATTGCATTCATGGGAGATCCTGAAGCAGACCCAGCTAAATCAGGCCCAGACTGCTGACCCACAGAAATGAAGAGATAATAAATATGTATTGTTGGGATCTTCTAGGCTTGCAAGCAGCCATCTAGATACAACGATGGTTCTTTGCTAGTCCTGAGTAAAGAATAATGAAGAAAATCAAAGACACATGGAAACAATTAGTCCAAGCAACTGGTACACCATGCAATCCTCAACCTATATGACTATGAGACCAAGAGAACTAGATGATGCCCAGCTACGACTGTCAACCACTCAGAGGCAGATCTGTATAGGAGATCCTGGATAGAGTTGGAGAACAAGGTGGAACAAAACTCAAAATCATAAAATGAAAAAAAAGGGGGGGGACCAGTTGCTGGTCTGATTGGGCCTGGTGGAACCCCTGAGACTATGGCCCCTAGCTGCCATTCAGGTCTGGAATTGAACCCACTCCTGTGGCTCGTAGCCAAACAAAACATAGGCATATGAGGTGAACATTTACATTAGGTAGATACACTCCTTGGAGAGATCTATCATGGGAGAATAGAAGGGCTGTGTATGTGCAGGGAGACAGCTTGGGCAGCAGGCATGCATGCAAGGGAAGTATACAGGGAGAGGTGACTATGGGGAGGAAGTGGAAAGAGAGCTGTTGCATTGTGGGAAATTACAGTCAATGTCATGAGATAAAGTATGTGTGAAATAAATAAATGTGTTTGTTTTAAGCCACTAAGATTATGATAATTTGTTATATAGCAATAGATAACTAATATAAGTATATTTTGGAACATAATCATTTATGATGGATATTCCTTAAACATTTTTACTTGATTTACAAAAACAAAAATTGGACTTACTTGGAATGTAGGATATCTGCAAATGTCCTCTGCTTCCCTTCAATGTGATACAGGGTATAAGATTCAATGAAATAGGGTATTTCATGTTATCTAAGTGGGATAAAGATAATGTCAATAAATTATCATAAAGCATTTTAAATAGGAATAATATTCTAAATATCAGTACCCAAAAGACACTTCCAGTGCATAGAATGAGAAAAATTTAAAGCTCCCCCTGCAATAAATATCTCCCCAAAACATATTTTCATGAAATTGCTTGTTCCATTTTGGGACTTCTAACCTGCCCTTTTCTCCACTGAAGGAGCCCTAGTAGTGCAGTAGTTAAGTGCTCAGCTGCTAACCACAAGGTTAGTAGTTCTAACCCACCAGATGCTCTGTGGAAGAAAGATGTAGCAGTCTGCTTCTGTAAAGACTACACTTTTGGAAATCCTATGGTGCAATTCTACTCTGTCCTATAGGTTCACTATGAATCAGAATCAACTCAGCAACAATGGGTTGGGTTTAATTTCTCCACTGCCCTCCTTTTCTCCACTCTCGTTACCTTTTTTGTATGTTCCATTGGTCCAAAATAGAAAAATACACTGAATAATTAGAAATCTAGTCAGTGCTGGAAATTGAGGGAATAAAAGAATGAATGAGTTAATGATAAAACTTCCTAAACAGAAAGTTGAATAGCAGAGTGGAGGAAGAGCTCATAAAAGTGTTCAGGAGGAGAGAAGAGGGACTACGCCAGTTTTGTTTAGCTTTGCCACTGAATGCAGCACTTAAAATAGTGTTGACAACTGTTATCCAGTGAACTGAGTATGTCTGCAATAAAATTTCATAGAATGAGGTGAGTTGACTGTTATTTTCCTTCATCATGGATGTTCATAAACATTTGGAGAAAAGATATTCATCACTGCATGGTATAAGACCAAAACCAACCAAACAAACAAAAAAATAGAGAAGAAGAAAAATAAAAACTTAAATGTCCAAAAATAAATTAATTATAACACACCTATTATTTGAAGAACGAGAATTTCAGAACACTTAAATGTGCTCATGAGGAAATTGTACATAAACCAAGAGGGAACAAGGGGATACTGCATGGTTTAGAATTAGGAAAGGTGTGCAAATAATCCACACAGCAGGACTACATGAAGAAGAACATAGCATCAGGATAGGAGGAAGACTCATTAACAATCTGCAATATGCAGATGACACAACCTTGTTTGCTGAAAGTGAGGAGGACTTGAAGTACTTTCTAATGAAGATCAAAGACTACAGCCTTCAGTATAGGTTATAGCTCAACGTAAAGAAAACAAAAATCCTCACAACTGGACCAATAAGCAACAGCATGATAACAGAGACAAGTTTGAAGTTGTCAAAGATTTCATTTTACTTGGATTCACAATTAACACCTGTGGAAGCAGTAGTCAAGAAATTTGCACTGGGAAAATCTGCTGCAAAAGACTTCTTTAAAATGTTAAAAAGCAAAGATGTCACTTTGAGGATTAATGTGAACCTGCCCCAAACCATGGTATTTTCAATCACCTCATATACATGCAAAAGATGGACAATGAATAAGGAAGATTAAAGAACAGATGTCTTTGAATTAGTGGTGGTGAAGAGCACCGAATATACCATGGACTGCCAGAAGAATAAGCAAATCTATCTTGGAAGAAGTACAGCTTGAATGCTTCTTAGCATTAGTGAGAACACTGTGACTTTGTCTCACATATTTTGTACATTTTATATCAGAAGGGATTCATACCTGGAGAAGGACATCATGCTTGGCAAAGTAGAGGGTCCATTAAAAAGAGGCAGACCCTCAATGAGATAGTTTATCACAGTGACTGCATCAATGGGCTCAAAATGACTGAGAGGATGGCACAGGACCAGGCAGTGTTTCTGTTGTACAAAGCGTTGGTCAGAACCAACCCAATGGCACCTAATAACAACAACAACCAAGTGTGATGTAATGTATATCTTCATTCCTTGTTATATGTTTGCAACAAGTGTTCAGAGTAAGAGGACCAAGTCTCTGGAGCAGAAGCTGAGAAAAAATTAGAGGCAGTGAATCACCAGAGCAATACTCCGTGTCATACTAAGCGAAATTCTGTTTCCAGTTGAGTTTGAAGCTGAGTTTAACTCACTTCCCCACCCTTTCTGTAACTATCCCACACTCTGGTTGGAAACAGATGATCAGGCATGATAACTCATCTCCTTAAAGTTGTTTTTCAGAAACCCAGCCAAGACCAATTTGAAATCTGTTAAAATCAACTTGGATCAGTTTTGGCCTTTGGACATGCACAGTGGAAGAAACAGAACAAAGGTGCTTGGAACTAACATCTCCCTCTGCCTAAGCCCCAATTGGTGATGACAGGAAGTAGGTGTAACTCATCCAGTGCGCAAGTACACTGCATTAAAAATTGACTGTCCCTTTAAACCAAGACTAACAAAACTTCAGCCAATCCCCAGGCAATTCATGCCCAAATTCCTGGACTTTATATGAATATGTATAGTAGTCCCTTCCCGGAACACTGCAAAAACTGTACATCAACCCTCACTTTGGGAGTCAGATTTGGGTACAGCCCCTGTCTCTTACTATGCACGTGGTAATAGATTATTTTTCGTATCTCTGAAGTGCAGGATGTGTGTGAACTGATTGATTTGGCTTGATCAGGCATTGGGCAGGAACTCACTTTAGTCTGATATCAAGTTTCCCACGTGTCTGAAGTTAGTCTGATTACGATGAAAACAACAATGAGTCAATCTAATTAGCCAAATATTTAGAGCTTTTGTGGCTTAATGCCTAAGGTATCTGACTGATAACCAGAGGGCTGGCGATTCAAACCCACCAGCCCCTCCTCGGAAGGAAGATGGGGCAATCTACTTCCCTAACAATACTGCCTGGGAAACCCAAGGGAGGGGTCGCTATGAGTCAGACCCAACTTGAGGGCAGTGAGTTTTTGTGGGGTTTTTTTTAATTTTATTTTTAATGGGTGCCAAGTATTAGGCCAGCAACAGAGAGAGGCATGGTGGTGGGTGATGGAGAGTACAGAATAGAAGTAAAAGACTTGGGACTTGTGTTAAGAAGGCTGTGATTTTTCTTGGGAGACAAGCCCTACACACATAAAATAATTAGACGTAAGATTCAAAACTGCCTACAACAGTATCAAAATTAAAAAAAAAAAAAAAACCTCACTGCCATTGAGATGATTCTGACTCACAGTGACCCACATTGGGTTTCTAAGGTTGTAGATCTTTACCGAAGCAGACTGACTCATTTTTCTTCTACTGGTTTGTTCAAACCACTGACCTTTGGTTAGCAGCCAAAAGCTTTAACCACTACACCACCAGAGTTCCTTATAACAGGATACAGCATGTAATTTTAATTAACTTGGGTCATTTGCAAAGGCTAGAGAACTAGTGGGAAATAATCTTATTACTTTAAAGTTATCATGTGTATGGTAATGCTCAACTTTTGTTTTATCAAATTCAGAAGGTGGTGACCAGGTTCAGCAAATGCACAGAACAAGAGCCCCTGATTTTCCCAGTAATCACAAAGGTCACCATTGCTAATCCATCATGACGTTTTTTCACACTGACTTCAGCCTTAGAGTACTTCTTAGTCAGACATTCAACGCAACTGCAGCTGGCACTGGAAATAACACGATTGCCACTCTGAGTGTGGGCAGTGAGTGCTACTGGGTGTCAAGAAAGAAAAAGATGACCATTGGCTAGAGTTGAACCATCATAACACCTCATTTTACCTCTTTAATGAAATTTCCATGACATAGATTTACAATTCCTTCTTGCAAGAGTATCTTTGTCCTTACCAGTGTGGAAACTTCTCTTCCCTCAAAATGTGCTCAAACATCATCAACTCTAGTAAGCCTTTCCTGGATTCTCCACATGTCCCCACCGCCACAGTCACAAAAACACTATAGTACTAGTTCATTGTTTATTATAATAAAGATGTATAAATTTTTATTATAATTTATTTTCAAATCCATCTTTTTATAAGAATATAACATGCCTCCAGGAAAGGAAGCACATTCACTGGTTTTGGTTTTGGTTTTTTTAAAATTTTACTTATTTTGATGTTGTTGATAATTTACACAGCAAAACATACACCAGTTCAACAATTTCTACATGTACAAATTAGTAATACTGATTACATTGTTTGGGTTGTACAACATTCTCACCCTCCTTTTCTGACTTTTCCTCCCTCATTAATATAAAGTCACTGCCCCCTAAGGTTTCTATCTACTCTTTCGAGTTACTGTTGTCAATTTGATCCACACAGATAATTCTTAATTTTATCCATACAGATAATGCTCAAGGCAGACCTGGTTTTTTTGTTTTGTTTTGTTTTGTTTTTTAGTAGTTGTTGTTGTTATTATTTGCCATTGAGTCAGACCCGACTCATAGCGACCCCTCCTTGGCTTTCCAATGTGGTATGACTATGGAAGTAGATTGCCCAACCTTCCTTCCGAGGAGTAGCTGGTGGGTTTGAACCACCAGCCTTCTGGTTAGTAGTCAAGTGCCTTAGGCACTATGCTACCAGAGCTCCTTTTTTAGTAGTAGTCAAGCTGAACTATTGTTCAGTTTTAGGAGGACTTTGTTGTTGTTATGTGCCGTCGAGTCAGCCCCGACTCATAGCGACCCCTCCTTGGGTTTCCGAGGCAGTATCACTACGGAAGTAGGATTGCCCAAGGAAGGAAGACTTTAGGGATATATATTTTTGGTTTAAGGTTTAAAGATTTTCTCAGGGTAATAGTATCAGGAGTTTATTCATCCTCGGTGTCTCCAGAAAGTCTGGAGTCCATGAGAATTTGAAATTCTGTTCTGCATTTTTCCCCTTTTGTTCAGGATCCTGCCATGGAATCTTTGATCAAAATGTTCAGTAATGGTAGCCAGACACCATCTAGTTCTTCTAGTCTCATGGCAAAGGAGGCAGTTGCTCATGGGCGTAATTAGCTACACATTCCACATCCTCCTCCTCTTCCTCTCTCTCCTCCTTCCTCTCTTGCTGCAGTTGAATAGAGAGCAATTGCTGTGCCTTGGACGGCTGCCTACCTGCCCACCTGCCTACCTGTATACCTATATGATTCCTGTGATTCTCCCCCAACTCATTACTCTCCATTCCCATTTGCTTCTTTTTTTTCTTAAACACATCAAAGTCAGAGAGAAGGGGCAAGATCCTCCTTCAGAAAATCAACTCAAAAGACAAATCAATTGAGTTGTTATTACTAAAAGATTAAAAGCTAAGTAGTAATATGAAGTATTATGTAAATAAAGGCCTAATGAACAATGTAGAGCCAAGCAAGTGGTATATATAAGAGCTAAAGGAGGAGAGAGAACTGAGGCCTGTATGGACTGAGGAACCTTTCTGGAAGAGGCAGACTATAAGCTTATCCTGTTGGATGTAAAGTTCTCTTGGTGGTGCACATGGTTTGCACTCAACTGTTAACATAAAAGGGAGCTCTGGTGGCGTAGTGCCTAAGGCATTTGCCTGCTAACCAGAAGGCTGGTAATTCAAACCCACCAGCCACTCCTCAGAAGGAAGACTGGGCAATCTATTTCCATAGTGATACTGCCTTGGAAACCCAAGGAGAGGTCGCTATCAATCACAATTGACTTGACAGCAGTGAGGTTGGGGTTTTTGTTTTGTTTTTAACATAAAGTTTGGAGGTTTGAACCATCCAGTGGTGCTGTGGAAGAAAGACCTGGTGATCTGCTTCCATAAAGAATACAGAGAAGAAAACCCTGTTGAGCAATTCTGCTCAATAATGCATGGGATCACCTTGAGTCAGAATTGACTTGATGACCACAGGTTTGGTTTGGTTTTTGCCTGAGGGACAGACTTCAGAGAGAAATTGAGAGGGGATTCAGTACAATTTGCAAACAGGAAAAAGGTTACAAGTGTGGGATTGGTCACACACCTATTTTATCAGCATTTCCCAGAGTATATTAGGCAGGATAGTCAATACACCTGTCTTAGTAGAAAACACTAGACTGACACTCTGCTAGACAAGAAAAAATTATTGAAGGAATAGAATCATTTTGAAAGGGGAAGACATTCAAAAAGCTCTGGTAGCATAGGGCCTGAAGCACTTGATTGCTAACCAGGAGGCTGGCGGTTCAAACCCACCAGCCACTCCTCAGAAGGAAGATTGGGCAATTTACTTCCATAGTGATACTGCCTGGGAAACCCAAGGAGGGGTCCTTATGAGTCAGCAGTGAGTTTGAGATACAAGATGTTGCAATGCTCCAAATTACAGGGAGAACCTTAAGGGTTTAAAAGGATTTCTGTTAATAGGCAGGTAGCTAGGGGAGGAAGCATGACAAAAGCTACAAATTTAAACATTATTAGTAAGTTCATCTGTTTACATCCTCAGAGTTGTTTACATCCTGAGTAAACAAATCCTGAGAGTTATTTAACAAAGCATTCAGTCAGAGGTTAAATTTTCTGACACATCTGAAATCTGTTTCCTGGTAGCATAGTGGCTAAAAGCACTTGACTGCTAACCAGAAGGCTGGCGGTTCAAACCCCCCAGCCACTCCTCGGAAGGAAGGTTGGGCAATCCTACTTCTGTAGTGATACTGCCTCGGAAACCCAAAGAGGGGTCACTATGAGTCGGGCGACTGGACAGCACATAACAACAACAACAATCTCAATTACAGATTTACAAAGACCTAGTAGACACACAGTGGGAAATCCTAATGAGTGAGAAAACCTTTTGGGGTTAACACTTGATATGTGTCTATTTTAGCTACAAAGTTATTTACAACTTCTAACTTCATTTAACATTATCAATTCTGTTTCTCATCCTGCTGGCCAAGGCAACCTTCTCTGAAGCCAGCTGAAAACACAGACACTAAGTAACTGTCTAGGTGGAAAATTCTGACTTCTGCCTTCTTTAGCACCTGAGCTCTGATGGTGCTGCGGCCAAAGCATTGGGATGCTAAGCTAAAGGCCTAGCAGTTCAAACTCATCAGCTGCTCTGTAGGAGAAAGATGAGGCAGCCTGCCTCCATAAGTGCCTCCATAGGGATTGAAAAAACTCATTGCTGCAGTCAGACCCGACTCATAGCGACCCTCCTTGGATTTCTGAGGCAGTATCACCACGGACGTAAATTGTCCAACCTTCCTTCCAAGGAGTGGCTGGTGGGTTTGAACCACCACCCTTCTGGTTAGCAGTCAAGGGCCTTCGGCACTACACCACCAGAGCTCTTCCATAAGGATTTACAGCCTTGGCAACCCAATGTGCAGTTCCACTCTGAGATAGAATCAGCTGGGTGACCATGGGTGGGCCTTCTTTGTTATTTTGAACAGTAAAACTTTGACAAAAATGCTGACTGGTGTCTTTACAAAAGTAGAAGCTCAAAATGGAGTTTAATTTAAGTCTAAAGTCTCCAAATTCGGATATGACCGTACCTCAGTTTCAAGATTCATGTCCACACAACACACAGGCACACAAAATTAATGAAATTGGAATTTTGTGGGGTTATTGTGTTTCTTTATTGGAAACCAGTCTTCTGGTTAGCAGTCAAACGCCTTAGGCACTATGCCATTGCCAGTGGATAGAAAAGGCCAGCCAACCCATTGTAAGCAACACAGTGGAAAGTACCCAACCAAAACAACAGTCAGGCTCTGAAGCTGTACCTTCAGACCTATCAACATTTGGTAATGAAAAGGAGGAAAATAGTAATATAACCAGTTAACAGTACTAGGTATTGTCATTGTTTTGACTCATTATGATTGGTAAAAAAAAAAAAAAGCCACTATTTATTGTTTCTATGTGTCCTGTGCTAAAACTTCACAACAATCATTATGAGGTAGTGCTAAAATAATTTTCATTTTATAGATAAGCTGGGGCACAAAGAGGCTAAGTACTTTGTTGCAGGTCCCGCAGCAATTAGGTCACACAGCTAGTAACTGACAGAACCAGGCTTGTATTTGTTGAACCCGAAAATTAATAATAGACATCTTACTTTGATTTTAGGTTTTTCTTATGTCCAAAATCAAATATTAACAATAAAAAGCCTGACCCAAACTGCAAAAGCCTGCTAGAAACTGCTCTACAGCCCCATAAATTTGTCCTAACCTGCTAGAAAAGGATAGTTGTCAAACCATTACCTCCTAATTTAAATCTCAAAAACTTCATGGCTGCTGGTGGATGGAGGGCCAAATTACTAGCAGTTGGGCTGGAAGCAACCTGATACAAGTTGCTCTCAGGAAAGAGAGAAGGTTGGATTGTTGTTGTTATGTGCCATTGAGTCAGGCTGGACTCATAGTGACCCCTCCTTGGGTTTCCGAGGCAGTATCACTACAGAAATAGATTGCCCCATCTTCCTTCCGAGGAGTGGCTGGAACCACCAGCCTTCTGGTTAGCAGTCAAGTGCCTTAGGCACTGTGCTACCAGAGCTCCCACCAATCACATTAGGATTAGCCAATGGTAGATCTTTTATATTTCTCCCTCCTCTCCTCTTTATAGGGAGCTCTTGGTGGCCTAGTGCCTAAGGCATTTGACTGCTAACCAGAAAGCTGGCGGTTCACCATAGCCACAGCCCCTCCTCGGGAGGAAGGTTGTGCAATCTACTTCTATGGTGATACTGCCTCGGAAACCCAAGGAGGGGTCACTAAGAGTCAGGTCCGACTCAATGGCAGTGGGTTTGGTTTTTGGTTTTGTAGCCAGCTGCTTCAAGCCATTTGCTGTTTCTGGAATCAAAATGGTCTCCCTATATGTATATAGGAGCTCTGGTAGCATAGTGCCTAAGGCACTTGACTGCTAACCAGAAGGCTGGCGGTTCAAACCCACCAGCCACTCCTCGGAAGGAAGGTTGGGCAATCCTACTTCTGTAGTGATACTGCCTCGGAAACCCAAGGAGGGGTCGCTATGAGTCGGGGCTGACTCTACGGCACATAACAACAACAACAACATATGTATATATAGTAACTGTTCAGACTAAAAAAGTACGAATTTCAGTGAGTCTTAATTATTTTTAGCATACCCGATTAGGTATATGATTCCAAAAGCCCTAAAAAATGATAGTCTGGAGAGAAACTGACCCAAGGAGGAGACTGGTTCTACTTCCTTAAAAGGAAGAACCACAAAGTCTTAAATCACCTCCCCAATGGGAAAAAAAAAAACCAAAAAACCTACCACCCAGTCGATTCCGACTCATAGTGACCCCTCTTGGGTTTCCAAGGCAGAATCTCTGTGAAAATAGAGATTGCCCAATCTTCCTTCCAAGGAGTGGCTGGTGGATATGAACCACCAGCCTTCTGATTAGCAGTCAAATGCTACTGAAACTGAGAAGAATCTGAAACTTGAAGGTAGAGATAGCTGACAACAAGGAACAACAACACAATTTAGAGACCTGTGGGCCCTGTGAGGGATCGAGAAGATCCACATAGGGCATACTAGCCATCACTTTTCCTGTCAGCAGCAGCAGCAGCTGGAATGCACAGTTGTTTCCTGTGTCTGGGCAAGGTCAGAGTAAGTTTCCTGTGAAAACTCACTGTTGAAATAGCTGAAACCATTTGTTGTTGCAGTTTTACTTACCACAGTAGGTGTACCAAACACTTAAATCAGAGGAGTTGCAGATCCAATGTTGCTCTCCGAGTTCAGTAAATATGAAAGGAAACAGGGTGGAAAAAAGTAGAAATGGAAACATGATGGAATATCTCCAAAACTTTGAAAAGTAGAGGAGGATTGGTAAATAATCATCTGACTCTTCTCTTGCAGTAAGCAGAGAAGATTTAACTTAGTCATCTGTCATGTGATTTCTGAGGTCCTATTCAATGAGTTCCTCTTTTTTTGTGTGAGAGTAGGTCTGTGTTTTTAATATTTGAGTTCTTCCTGTAAGGGGGGAAGGAAAATGATTTATAATTTACTCTTTTGAACACTCGATGCAAATGAAAGTGACTAGAGCTTTAAAAACTGAAATGAAATACTTCCTGGTCAATAGTAACAAAACCAGTCCTGGATCTCCGTTAGATTCTCAACAATACTCCCTTCCATTGGCAATACAACACCATTCTCTCCAAGACCTATTTATGATATAGCAACTTCTTGTAGCCCAGAAATCTGTATCCAGTGGGCAGAACTGCACACTATTTCTACTTAGCAATAGGTTTACCCACAGGGCAGGATAAGGCTGTATAAGACAACAGACTAGGGACATTTGCTGTAGTGCTACTCTGTGAGTGTGGACTTAAACCAGTTCTCTGGCTAAAATAGGGGAAAAGAGACCCCAGATTCAAACAAGTTCAACAGAGACACTTTTATTAAGCATTGGACAGGACAAAGGCAAAACAGAGACAATCATCCAGGATGAGGGAAACCGTCAGCATGTACATAGTACAGAAAGCTGAATGGAGTCTGTGGAGTCATGACCATGGGGTTAATTACATATGACTGAAGGGGGGGGGGGCTGAAACCCAGGGATGGGGGGCTGGAATCATCACAAAATCATGATTGGTGGTAGATCGATTCATCACTGTTGCAGGCAGGACTATGCAATGCAAACACAACCACTGCCGTGGAGTCAGATCCAACTCATAGTGACTCCTCCTTGGGTTTCCGAGGCAGTATCACCACAGAAGTAGATTGCCCAACCTTCCTTCCAAAGAGTGGCTAGTGGGTTTGAACCACCAGCCTTCTGGTTACCAGTCAAATGCCTTAGGCACTGCTACCAGAGCTCCTAGGTGAGACTACAGAAGCAGGGAAAAGACCATGACTGGGATACATACATAATTGAAGATAGAAAAGGGTTACAGGGTTGGTTCTGGGCCTTAACTACCTGGCTGGGTGGTGGTCTGGATAGACTGAGACTCATGACCATGCAGCCTTGAGTCTTAGCTGCAAGGTAGCTGCCAAACAATACCAAGACCCCAACCTTAATTTAAATTAGAAAAGGACACACTCAGGCAAGTTGCCTAGTTCTTGGGTGAACATAATCTACTCTCAACCACATTCTTCCTGAAGGCAAACTGCCCCTCCCTAGGTTTGTCAGGAACTTGTCTATGTATGACCACAGTGCTGGCTCAATGGTCAGAAAGAACCCAAATGGACTCTGAAATTTATGTCAAGCCTCAAAATGGAGTTAGGGCTCCTACTGCAGACCACAGCCTTCCACAACCCCAAGTGCTTTAGCATTTAAGCTCTAATGCATGGCTGTGAGTTGTGATTGACTTGATGGCAGTGAGTTTTGTTTTGTTTTTTTGGTCTGCCCCTACCAGGTTTGAGAATGCACTGATTTATAGCAAGCTAAAGTTCAAGGGAATGTTTGAGTCCTAATAATGGTCATTAGGAGCTCTGGTAGCATAGTGGCTAAAAGCACTTGGCTGCTAACCAGAAGGCTGGTGGTTCAAACCCACCAGCCACTCCTCGGAAGGAAGGTTGGGCAATCCTACTTCCATAGTAATACTGCCTCGGAAACCCAAGGAGGGGTCACTATGAGTCGGGGCCGACTCGAGGGCACATAACAATAACAACAATGGTCATTATCTTGTTTGTAATATGCATTACATTTCAAAACACACACTTCATTTTAGAAAAGCAGCTAATCTTTAGATTTGTTACTTAAAATTTCTTTGTAGGATATACTGTTGATGTCAGAAGCCAAAAAAAAGATATAACTTCACATCTAGTTGGGGCCTGAGAGTCTCAAGTTTAGAGGAAATTAATCATGTTTGTAAAAGTTATAGAACTAAATGGGCCAGTTTTCCATTTCTAAAAAAAGGTGAAAACCTAGATCATGGTCTTAAAATATCATTTGCAACTAAAAGGAACCAGGACTCCTTTGGAAAATAGCTGATGCCAGATCTGGGGCAGAAAATGGTCAAGATGATCCTGGAACATCTTATTATATTAGATAGCTATCTTAGTTCTCTAGTGCTGCTATAACAGAAATACAATTAAGCGGATGGCTTTAACAAACAGACATTTATTTACTCTTTCACAGTTTAGGAGGTTAGAAGTCTGAATTTAGAGTGCTGGCTCTAGGGGCTGGGTGAAGGCCCCTTGACCTTGGGCTTCAAGTCTGCCTCTTCTTCCAGGCCCACTGAAGCTGGAGGCTTCTCCTAACTCATGCAGCTGCTGGCTGCTAAGGCTGATGAACCCAAGATAAGCAGGTAAAATGGCACTATCCCAAGATCTGCAGGCAACATGGCTGGCCACAGGTTCAAGTCCAGAAAATGGAGATGAAGACTGAACCAAATGCAGAATCTTTTCTATATATGCTGGAAGCAGGGCACACTCCAAAGGCAATTCTCCTTTAACTGATTATTTGCTCACAGTGGATTCTACCATGGGGGCAATTATACAACATCTAATCTCATCATGGGGAATAACTATATCCAGCTGCCAAGTCACTCAATGTCTTGGCCCAACTAAATTGACATACAACCTTAATTACCATAATAGCTAATTTGAAGAGGACACCATTGACCAAAGATGAGTGTATTAGTTTCCCATTGCTACTGTAACTTGATGGCTTAACACTACACAAATTTATTCTCTCATAATTCTAGAGGTCAGAAATAAAAAATTAGTTTCATTGAAGTCCTCAGAGCTGCTTCCTTCTGGAGGCTGTGAGGGGGGAATTTTTTCCTTCCCTTTTTAAGCTTCTAGTGGTTACCCACATTCCTTGGCTTGTGGCCCCTTCCTCCATTTTCAAAGACCATCATTTCAATCTCCACTTCCATCATCACATCACTTTCTCCTCTGAGTTCCTGCCTCCCTCTTATAAGGAGTCCTGTTATTATGTTGATCCACTTACATAATCCAGACTAATCTCCCTATCTCAAAATCCTTACATTAATCACACCTGCAAAATCCCTTTTGCCATATAAGAGGCCACAGATCCAAATATGAACATCTTGGGGGCCATTATTTATCCTACCACAGTGGGACTATATGAGCACTAATAAGATAATAATTGCAATGAATTAAAACATATAAAATATGTTTAAATTTACAAACTTGTAATAAAAGTCTGACTGGTCATTATGAGATGATGCTAGGAAACCAATTCTACGTTGAAAATTGGTAAATAAAGGGAAAGAATAAAGCATTTATCCTGACTTGTCTACACAAACTGAACTACTAAGCAACCAAATAGTAGGCAGGGGCAAGTTTTTCTTACCTTCTTGTACTTTTCTACTTACAGATGTATTCCAGCTAATAAATGAAAAAGGAATAATAGAATATAACCATTTTGCAACATGTAATGAACTAAGCAATCAAAGATTGCTAACATCACAAAGAGAGAGACAAAAAGATCTATGAACCTCCTGATGGAAGAACACTGATATAGCCAGCCTCCAAGATTTCTCCCAATGATCCTTACCTCCTGGAATTGGTATCCTTGTTTAGTCTCCTACCACAGTGAATAAGGCTGACCTGTGTAACCAGTAAAATATTGTAAATATTGTATAATAACAATGTGTGTGCCTTCCAGGGTAGATCATAAGACACTGTGGCTTATACCTTGCTTTCTTTTGGATCATTTGCTCTGGGGGAAACAAACAGTGCTAAAGAGTGATTCGTATGGTGAGAAACTGAGCCCCCCCTGCCAAAAAACAGCACCAACTTGTCAGTAAAGTGAGTGTCCTCTCTTAGAAGTACGTCCTCCTGCCTCAGCCAAGCCTTCAGATGACAGCAACATCAGCTAACATCTTGCCTACAACCTCATCAGAGACCCTTAGTGTGGTGCAGTGAATTACTTGGTATGGTTTTTCTAGCCATAGTCTTTGTAACTCCCACCAGATTACTGGGTGGGACCTTGCAAATAAGATGTGTAGAACTCTGATGTTGGGATTGGTTAGTTTTGTCACTCTGCCAGGCTTCAAAATAAGCCCTCCTAGAGAAGGAGCTCTGGTACCATAGTGGCTAAAGCACTTGACTGCTAACCAGAAGGCTGGCGGTTCAAACCCACCAGCCACTCCTCGGAAGGAAGGTTGGGCAATCCTACTTCCGTAGTGATATTGTCTCGGAAACCCAAGGAGGAGTCTCTATGAGTCGGGGCCGACTCAACGGCACATAACAACAACAAGCAGCAGAGAGGGGATCTCATTGCCACCAAGAAAGAAGTGCTGGAGGTGAAGTAGAGGGCTTCCTTGAACCTGAGATCCCTGCGCTGGACCTTCTTGGCAGAGATGTGCCAGCAGAGAGATGCCCTGGCAGAGAGGTGCCCCTGTAGAGAGACAGCAGCAGTGGAACCAGGAGGCATGAGGCAGAGCAGAGGGCTTACCTGCCCTTACCATAGAGCAAGAAAATTGTGTGCCCTTGGGCAGGAGACTTGCTTATGGAGTGGGGTGCACCTAGGTGTACCTTTGGGCAGAGTTAAAAGTGCTATGTAACACTTGCCTAAGGAGGGCAGAGAGGCCAGCCCGAGAGGCCAAGAGCCAGAGAGGCATGCCTGAGGGCATAGCTGAGAGGAGACTGTCCTGACTGAAGACGTGTATCCTGAGCATGTTCCTGAACCTGAATTATAGACTGTTACTTCCCTAATAAACTCCATAATCGTCAGTATTGTCTGTGAGTTCTGTGAGGTCATTACAACAAATTATTGAACTCAGCAGAGAAGTAGTGAGAGCCATGGGAGGGATGGTTGGTGTCAGAATTAGTAAAAGGCTGGAGGGTGGCAGCATATCTAACCTCATAGGAATA